ATTCCTTTGGGAGGAATAGGATCTGTGTTTAGGACAAAGTCAGAATCAGGTGGGATTGTACTACAGGGGACAAGAGGAGTACGCCATGGAGGATATATGTTTTCCTCTCATTAGCCACGAGCTGACTTGGCTGCTCACGCCTTTGTGCTTGGCATAACAGCGGAGGAAGCCCTCTTTGTGGTTTTGCAAACAAGCACATCATGAGAAACTCTGAGTGGTGCTTTTGGCTGTGGTACTATTTGTGGAGTAGTAATTTAGGCTGTGGGGTATTCCCAGCCGTAACAACGCAGCTTTCTGGGGAGACAAAGCATGGTTTTATTAGCATAAGTGCTACCCCTCACCCCCCAACGCACACTGTGTACACACACTGCATTGTTTTTTCCTCTTCTTCCTGTCCTCCTTTTTGGCAGCTCCTGCTGTAGCCTCCTGTCTATGGCTCAAGAGGGAGTGTCCTTAAGACAAAGCCACACTTGGCCCTGCAGGAGAGGGGGGGTCCCAGACAGCCACTGATGACGACTACTGGGGCTTTTGTCCAAGCTGACTTTATTTATTCATAAACAGGACGATAGTCAAGGTTCCAAGGCCCCTGAACCACTCAAACCCCTCCTCCCTTCAGTTTACTTTCATTTCTTTGATATTTTTTTCCTCTCATCTTGGCCCTGTCAGTTCTCTGAGCAAAGCATGTTAGTTCATGGTGGCTTCTTTTTCTTCCCCAAACAAAAGCCCCCCCCCCACCACAGATGCACACAATTGGGGGCTCTGTCCTAGATCTCTGTTGGAAAGTGGCTCTTGAGAAAATCAGGGAAAACATACTTCAGTCAGACACTGAGAAAATCCCCAGGGGCTGGCCTGACTGGTCGACTGGGCTGGCATGGGGCCATTTGGTATAAGTGGAAGGAAGAGGCATGTCTTCGTACCATTTGTCCATCCTATAATAGCTCTCCAGTTGGCACCTGAAACTACCATATAAGTATAAAAAGATCATGATTTCCAAACTAGAAATTAGGACTCATGTCTGATTAATTATCAGAAAAATAGGGCAGAGCTGTTCAGCCAAAGCTAGGATAAATGGTCAGTCTTATTCCAGCTGAGATCAAAGACAGAGGCTGCTTGCTTGGAAAATAACTGCAGGATTCTGGGGCCACATCTGGGTTTAGTAGGAGAAGAACACAGGGCTGTGCAGTTGTTTCTCAGTAACCACAGGGGACTGGTTTCAGTGTCCTCCGGGGATACCAAAATACACATATGACCGAGTCCCTTGTGTATAATAGTATCCTATTTGCATAGAACCCATGTACATCCATCTACATACTTGAAATCATCTCTAGATTACTTATAATAACCTGAATGCTATGCAAATAGTTGTTATACTGTATTGTTCAGGGAATAGTGACAGGGGAAAAAAGTCTGTACATGTTAGGTACAGACACAGTTTTTTAAAGAATATTTTTGATTGGTTGTTGGTTGAATTCACAGTTGCAGAGCCCATGCATGCAGAGACGGCAGTATTGGGAAGGTCCAAGACAATCATTGATGTGCTAGTGGAAACTTTGCAATATTGGCTTTATATTCAGATGGTTTCTTAGAGAGCCAATGGTTAAATGCTACTAGTTCTTGGCATCTTGGCATAAACTAAATTATTAGGTTAGCTGCTCATCACATGGCTCTAAGAGAATAGAGTCACAGGATAGGTTGTTTTTCAAATGACTTATTCTTTGTTTTTTTATTGAGCTAAAATTCATATAACACAACATTCACCACTTTTACCATTTTAAAGTGCACAATTTAGTGACTTTTAGTACATTCATAATGCTGCGCAACCAGCATCACTCTCTAATTCCAGATCTTTTTCATCACCCCCTGAAGGAACCCTGCACCAATTCTCCCTTCTCCTCCACTCCTAGAAAGCACTAATCTATTTTTTGTCTCTGTGAATTTGTCTATTCTGGATATTTCCTGTAAATGGGATCATGTGTGGCTGTTTTGTGTCTGGCTTATTTTGCTGAGCATGTTTGCAAGTTTCATCCATGTTGTAGCATGAATCAATATGTATTTTCTTTTTTATGGCTGAATAATATTCCATCATCTGGATACAATCCATTTTGTTTATGCACTCATTATTTGATGGACGTTTGGGTTGTTGCCACCTTTTGGCTATTATGAATAATGCTGGTTTGATTATTCAGTTAAAACGTTTTTCTTGAACACTTGTTTCCAGTCCCCTTGGGTGGATAAAGGAGGGGTTTTTTCCTGCTTTTGGCAAAGACAGATCCATTTGAAACTGTTTAATGGGTGAGCTTTGTTAAGAAGAAAAGAGCAGAAGTTTGGGTGCTGCTAGATGAGGCCTGGTGGGGATGAAAAGATGGGTTAATGATTATAGATTGGGCTGTCTTCACAGGCTGTTTTTAATGGATGCTGTTTGGGCAGGAAGAAGGAGACTTGTTTAGCTGGATGTAAAGCAAGATGCTAAAATAGGTAGAATGCATTTTAGCACAATAAAGAAAGGGGCTCACTTATTACAAGCATGCTGCTTGCTGTGCATTTCTATTATACATCTTCATATCTATACACTCATTAGGATGAATGAATTAGGCAAAGCAGTTACCATTTGCTACCAGTTGAGAAACAAGCAAATCCAAGGGCCTAGCACAGCATCTGGTGACAGGGGACATTCAGTCAGAATTTGCTATATAAATGAAGCACAGTCATATCCAGTGAAAGAATGTCAGAGCTAAGAGAGTCTTTGAGATTATCCCTAGGCCAGTAATGATGAACCTATTAGAGACTGAGTGACAAAACTGCAACCCACCCACTTACTTGTCACAAAGTGCCAACACTGCAATTAAACCTGAATACTGAGGTTTCATTTTAGAAAAAACAACTTTTATCTGATGCTCAGCTGTTGGGGGAACTTGGCTCATGTGCCGACAGAGAGGGCTTTATGTGCCCACTGCAGCTTGCTTGCCATAGGTTCGCCACCACTGTCCTAGGCCCTCTTCCTAAGACACTTTTGGAACAGGAATCTGTCAGAGCAGAGTAGGGAAGTCCTGGGCTTAAATTCAAGGTCAACTGGTCAGTAAATGAAAGACCCAAGTCAGTAGTCTGTTCTTTGTCCCCATATGGACTGTCATAACATCAACTACATTGCTTTGTGGTAATGTGTACTCTTGCCTGTTTCTACACTGAGCCATAAGCTCCTGGGAGTGGAGCTTGTGTCTGACTCATCATCGAGTCCCCAGGATGCAGCACAGTTGTTGAAACTTGTTGAATAGATGAACAGGAATGAGAAGTTCTCTGTTCTTCCTGATCTTTGCTCCTTCTCATTTTGCCGCAGCTTTCAGTGGCAGATCTAGAATTTAACCATAGTTCCCAGGCCCCAAGGATCTTTTCCCTACACTCTAATATTTATATCCACCAAGATAAATGACATTAGATGTATCTGGCAGGTTCTTTTGGACTTGTCAGGTCCCTTGGAATAATTCCTACTCTATTTTATTACGGAAGTGTCTAGAAGGCAAGTCAAACATTTTTCCTTATTTCAAAGCCTAAGGCCATCTTATGTAGAATCATAAGAATATCTTGGGCAGCAGGAAGTTCCTTTCTTTGCTATGTTGTCCAGGTCCCAGGTGGAGGTAGTCTTTTCTTGGGGATTGTATTTGCCATATGAGACTTGACAACATGGAGGCAGGAACAGGGAAAGATATTTTCAAGAAGTTCTGAAACAAGAAGTTCTCTGTTCTTCCCAGATTCCTTTTCTATCTTCTTATAGTCCTCAGCACATATTGTGGCAAACAGTCTCATGGAAACAGTCTCATGGTGGAAACAGTGGAAACAGTCTCATGGTGGTCTTTCCAAAGCCTCAGAACTAGCTGTGGAATGGCATATGGCCTTCACGGGAACACTGAGAATACTGTTTGACTCAGGACACTGGGCATTCTATGTTCACATCAAGTTAACACATAAAAGTGCCCACCATGCCACACAACCTAAGAGCAAAGCCAGTCTTGTTACATGGGTGAGATATCCAGGAACCAGCGAATCTTCTTGCTGTATGTCCTTCATCTTGAAGGAGCCAGGGGAGGGTCTGTTAATGCTCAGAACCCATCCACTCAGGCAGCTTTAGGTGTCCATGTGAAGGAGGTACTGGGCCAGGGACTGTGGGAAGCAGTCAGTGTCCCCATGACAAGGTCAGTTCAAGTCCTCTAGCCTTGTCATGGCAGGGAGGTTTCGGCCAGCCTCTTGTGTCCCATCTTTGCTGAAGGTGAGCCATTGCTCAATCTTTAGAGGTGGCGTGTTCCAACCGAAGGTCTCAACTGGATGTGTGTGGAGGTCCATGGCTATGCTGGTCTGAACAAAGAAGACAATAGTGCAGGCGGGAACTGATGTAGAATATGATGGCACCAGCCATTTGCTGAAGTTCACAGGGCTCCAGGAGTAGATTAATGGGAATGTGTGGAGAGCACTCAAGAGGGAAGAGGGTGCTGTATTACCAGAGTCTGCCTCTGTGATGACAGAGGTTTGGTTCTTCCTTATAGTGGGAGATAGAAGAGGAAGCTGATTTTTAAAGTGGTCTCTGTACTGTGAAAGAGGATATATATGGGAACTTCTGTGGGAGGATGATCACCCATCCTGGGGTTTGGTGGAGGCTGCCAGGGGACTGCTGCAGGTGAGTTATACCCTGTCTGGGAGGTGGGCTGCTAAAAGTCATCCTGTGAGATCTTCAGCCTGGAGGTGGTAGCTGGGAACTATTTCTCAATCTCTGAGGGTCACATCAAAAAGAATGGTGGATGACAATGGGACAGAGCCTTAGAAATAAATCTTGTTACCTTTCTGTATTGTCACAAGCCACTCTGTTTTATTATAGTTTAGACAAGCCAGAATGCCTCCTTTTCTTCAGATGAGATGTGAGATTGGAATGGATCTCTCCCTCCCTCCCTCCCTCCCTCTCTTTCTCTGTCTCTGCCTCTGCCCACCCACACACCTATAGCCTACACACTCACCTGCACCAGGTCCGGCGTGAGGCGCTTGGCCTGCAGCCATTTCTGGAACCTCTGTGTTTTCCTCAGGACACGCTCAATGCTGCAGGTCTTTGGGGCTGATATGGAGGCACAGATTCTCCTGTCTGAGACCTCATTTTGGTATTTGCTGATCAGCCTAGAGATCTCCACAGTGCGCCAGGTTTTAGAATCATCTGAGTAATTTGCGGGGTAAGAAGGCAAGTAGTGAGAAGGCAATTCAAGGTTGGAAGCCAGCAAGTCGTCAAACCTGTTGGAAAAAAATAGCCCTTTTAGGATTAACTTGTGAACTGGAGGCCAGTAGAGCCCAGGGTCAGGGAGACAGGGAACAACAGCCCATCTGATCCATTTCTCTTAGACTAAAGTATCCAAACTCTTCTTATGAGAGGAATCTTTTCATTTCCTCAAACTCTAAGAAGTGTTTATATGATGTCAGAAAAGATGAGAGAGGTATGGGTGAGACAGAAATTATCCTCTTCACTCGACTGATATAGAAGGGCTAGCTGCAGTCTCCTGAATTTCTACTCCATGTAAAGATAGTAACTTTACACATGCTGACACTTTCGCTTCTTCTCACACCCCACCCTCACTTTACAGGTTTGGAAATCAAAGCTCATAGGGCCTGAGCACCTTGCCAAAGGTCAGACAGTATATTGCAGGAGTACAAACCCCGGGCTGCCGGTCAGCAAACTCCACCATCTTTTCCCTACCTTCTTTTGGTTGCCCAAACTACCCATCCTCTGACCAATGCCTGGATCTTGGAAACATTGTTCTTGAAGAGGCTCTTGGGCCTGCACTAGGGAGACCAGTGCCTCCCCGCATCCAACTTGAAGGAGCCCCTTCAATTTTTCTTTCAGTACAAAGATTTAAGTCATCAACACCAATTAAGTCTCAGACAACCATGGTTGCTAAGTGGTCACCAAAACTGCAAGTTATCTGGCCTCCAGGAGATATTCAATTGTACACAATGCTCTGGTCAGTCTTTAATCCTCCTCAGGGTAGAGGCACAGGCTTATTATCATTTGCTAATTTTCTCAGCCTCATGGGCACATTTTTTCCCTACTCATTTCTTCAACTGTGTGCTAGCATTTCCATTAGAGTAGAATTTCAAATCTCCTTTTGATTTATGTATAAAAAACTACCCCAAAAAGTTTACCTTCATTATTATTAATAACTGAGGGTCATACAGTAAGTGAAAATTGGGCTATATAATACATTAATTTAATGTAAATGAGAATCTTTAAATTCTTATTATTAGGCATTATTGAGTAACCCCATGATAATGAGATTTGGATAATACGTTTTGGAAGAGAGAGCATTTTAATGAGCCCCAAACCCTACATTGTTTTGTTTTCTCACTTGTATGATGCAGCCTTACCTCAGAGACCACAAGATTTTCCTATTGTTTTGATGGCAAAGAAAGGCACACAGAAAAACTTGCAAGGGCAAAGAGGTCATGGGACTTGTCCAGGGAGCTGGAGAGCACAGACCTCTGAGTCCCTGGAGAATGCACGAGAGCTCTGGACCTCTCACATTTGGGAAGGCAGGCATCCAACAGAAATGGTCAGGGAGCAACTTCGACAGTGCAAATCACAAAGGAAATAGGCACCAGGAATTCTATTTAAGAACATTGCCACAAGGATATTTAAAAAGATGAAACATGGTAAACTTGTGACAAGTTGATTTTACTGAAAGTTTCAGGACTATCATGGGAATTGACCCACCCAACTGGGAGAATCAACTAGGGCCCAAGCCCCCAAGGCAGGCCTATCTGCCTGCGTTCTGCAGCTGCTCTTGCTTGTGGAATTTCAACCTTACCATAGGTCCTGGGTTTAAGTATTTACAACTGGGTGTGTCTTTTGGTTAATGATAATAGTAACATACATTTATGAAATACTTAAGCATGCCGGTCACTTTGCTAAGCACTTTATGTGTGTGAATTAATTTAATTCTTTCAATAAACCTATAAGGTTGATATTATTATTAACCATACAGATGAAGAAACTGAGGCACAGAATGATTACATCATTTGTCCAAGGTTATATGACCAGGAGTCAGAGGAAGTGGCATTCAAGGCTGCAGAGCTTGCAGTCTTCACCACTTCACCACGCTGCTTATTTCTCTTTCATCCATTTTCTGAATTAGCTCATGGAAATAGATTGATAACATTGCTAAGGCTTAGAGCTGGCAGGGTCCTGAAAGTTTGTTTTGTCCTTGCTCTCATTCCTATTTTGTTTTTTGGATGAGAAAACTGAAGCCAGAATGTACAAATATATGTGACTTGTGTGAAGAGCTGCAGATAATTAATAGGGAGGGAGCTCTCAGGCTTCTGTTCACCCATTTGGTGGGTTGGGGAGAGAGACTTTTCTGTCCTTTTCTTTTGTTCCCTCCTCCTGAGGAGCCTCTGTTGAGACGATGGCAGTGACTTGGTAGGGGACCTGCAGTGAGTGCCTGTGCAGATTCAGCAATGGCTCAGGGCATTCCACGAGGACTGAGACAGATAGGTTTCCAAGCCTCACTTCCATCAAATGGGAAAAATGTATATTCTTCCAATACTGATCACCTACTTTACTGAGCAAAAGAATGTCAGTGAAAAAATGGGTCCTACTTTTTATTCACTAAGTTGTTAATGTCCTGGAATTTGGAAAACCACAAAACAGAGGCAGCTTCCTAATTTTTCTTCTGCATTGAGATCATGGACATAATTGATGTGAGGCTGGCCAGGTTCCTTACTGGGCTAAAAGATAGACAAGCAGAGCCAGGTATGGTGGTGCATACCTATAATCCTAGCACTCTGTGAGGCTGAGGCAGGAGGATTGAAAGTTCAAGCCCAGCCTGTAGAGACTTAGCAAGCTCTGTCTCAAAATTTAAAAAAAATACAAAAAGGGCTGGGAATGTAGCTCATTGTAAAGGTCCTGGGTTCAGTTGCCAGTACCATAAAAAAGAAAGAAAAAGAAAAGAAAATGGACAAGCAGGATTATAGTTTCATAGTTTCTCAGAGCTGGAAGGAAGCACCAAGGCCAATCCCCTGATCTTTTCAACGTGGAGAGTAGGGGGGATATGTGTGAAGGAGGGGCAGCATTGGAATTACAGTGAAATGCCCTCTTCACTTGCACATAGACATGCCTTCCTAAATATTTCTTTCTTCTCTTCTCCATCCCTCAATTCTGAACTGAAACCTTAAACCATCTAGCATTTTTCCAAAGCTCTTGGGGTACAGTCACATTCCTCAGCACAGTTCACAATGCTCTTTCTAGGCCTGTTACATGCTGTTCCACTTATAAGCTTGCTTTGGTCTCCCAAACCACTGGCTACCCTTGGCTAAGCCACATTCTTTTGGGCCTCTGAATCTCTACTCATCTGCCATGTGCTGATCCCTTTGCATAAGACACTTTCTTCCTCCTGTTTGTCTGGATAACACCTACCTAACCCTTTATATCCTAGACAGGGGATCTTCTGATGGCCACTCCCTTATCTCCTAATTGGGATCCATTCCTTCCCGTATGCTCCCATAACACTCTGTGTAGGACATTTTGTATGTATATTCCTAACACTTTGATTTAACCATTGATTTACTTCTCTATCTTCCTGGTTGAAAGCAAACTCCTTCAGGGCAAGGGTAGGATCTCTTTCACCTTTGTAACTCAGTGTCCAGCAGAGTGCTTGGTACTAAGTTAATGCTCAATACCTTATAGTTGGGTGGACAGACAGATGGATAAGTGTTTGGATGTACAGGTGGATAAGTGGTGGGAATTTAGATGTATAGAAAGAGAAATGAGTGGAGATGTACATGGGGGGATGGATGCTGGAATGCACAAAGTGATGGTCAGTGAGAGAATACACAGAGGGATGACTGAATGTGTAGATGGGCACTTTTCCATAAGCTCCAGGCCCCTGCAGCTCTCAAGGCCTCTGAATTGGTGTCAGGAAATGAGTTAAAGGAATAATCACTATCATCTTTTGAGGTGAAGAAGAAAGGCAAGAGGCAAGGGAGAAGGGAAGGCAGTACTCAGCTGAACGATTTCTTCTTTTACTGTCAGCTCTCTGCTTCTCTGTTGGAAATGTTTAAACATTAAGACTTTGAGGGTAGGGGTTTGGGGATGTTAGGCCAAATACATGTAGTCAGGAAGGTGAGGTAAAGCATCTACCCATTATCTACCAAGCACAAGTCTCCAGCTACCCACCAGCTTGAGAGGCCTATCTGTTGTTTGCTGTTGAACAGATACAAGCATCATGTAGTCCTTAGTGAGGACCACAGCTGGAGTCCGCACACTGGCCTTGGTAGAGTATTGCAGAAAAATGTCTCAGAGTTTAGTTGGGCTTTCTCCTGAGGTTTGATGGTGATCATTTTTAAAAGTGGAGAAATGTTTGGAGATCAATAAGATGGACAAACATCTTATTAGAGAGAGAGAAAGAGAAGTTGAGTGTGCAGCTCAGTGGTGGTAGAGCACATTCTAAGCATGCACAAGGTCTTGGGTTCAACCCCCAGTACCCCAACAAACAAATAAATAATGAGTAATTTGAGGAAGAGTGGGAGCAAAGAAGTATGGACTTATAGACAAGCAAAGAAGAAACACAGATGACTGATAAACCTGAAAAAATGCTCAACTCAGAATAGAGGAAATGCAAATAAAAGTATAGCAATATAAAATATTTGTGAGTGAGAACTGAACTCTACGTAGAAGTCTCTGTTTGGATACACACACACACACACACACACATACACACATATGCCATATTTTTTGAAACAGGAATCCTACTTCTAAGAGTTTTCACATGGAATTAATCAGGGATATGCACAAAATCTCAGCACATGAATTTTCAACATAACACTTTATAATACTGAATTAGAGGAGGAGGGAGAGAGCAAGGAGGGAAGGGGAAGGGGATTTTTAAAAAAGGAAGCAAGTTGTACTATGTGCATGTACCCATTCCCCAAGATGACGTAAAATGTGTGTACTGCAAACATGTACTAATAAAAACCACTTTATAGTACTGAAAAGTGAAAAAAATCCTAGGCCATCTCATGGTAGTGAATTAAATACATTATGGTTAATTGATGTAATTGAACATGACAAAAGCATTAAGAATCCAGTAGTGAAGAATATTTAATCGTATGGAAAGAGGTTCCTATTATGTTTTTAAATAAAAATTCCCAAAGAGTAAACATAATATGACCACATTTTTGTTGCAAATATTTGTTAATCCTTATTTAGAATAAGGTGGAAGAGCTGTACAACTAAATGTTTGCTTTAAGGTATGCTCATGGCCCTGAGGATAAATATTCTCAGTGTGGAGAGCTATAACCCTGTCCCCACCTTGCCTGCTGTTTTCCTGTGTATATCTGTACCCTTTCCTTTCAGTCACACATGGAAAATGAATTCTAAGGGAGGTGAAGTAATATCCTGAACGCTAATAGAGCACAAGCCTACTTAGGAAAATGCTTTCTGAGTTTGGCCAGTACCTGCCTGAGGAGGGGAAAATACTTAGTTTATTGCCACTTGGTGAATAAGGAGGAAGGGAACCAAGAGCTCTTCTTCAGTTGAAACCCTTAATTTCTCTCCCTATTATCTTAAACTATCTTAAGATATACCCATGGTCTCATTGCCTCTTTCCTCTGAGGAGTCAGCACTACTTCACCTGTGTTCTTGGTCCTCTTTATCCCTTTCCTAGATGGGAAATCTCAAATTCGTGTTCAACATCTCTATCTTCATTTCACCTCATATCCAGTTAGTCAACAAAGTGACTCTATAGTTGTATCAACTTGTATGCTTCCTGCCCTCCTTTGCCCCAGATGACCTGTCTTCCAAACCATGAGAACTGGTCTCGCAAGCCCTGGCAGCAACTCCAGTCCATTCTCCATGCTGCTTTCTGAGGTATCTTTCTCAAAATCCAGGCCTCATCTTCCCCTTCCCAAGTTAACGCCATCAGCATTGCCTGCAATGACGCTGCCCCAGTTGAGCTTCTTTTGACCTTTAAAATACCTTAAAGAAGGCTTAATAGGAAATGTTCACATATCTGTGATCTCTCAAAAGAAGTTTAACATTTTTGATGGGTACTTTCTATTTATGATTTCTATTTACTAATTTAGATGAATAATCAATGATGTCTTTAGATAGTACAGATTGGTAATAAAATCATTGTTTATACTTTTTGTGTTGTCACTGAATCTTAAAATCATGATAGGGCCTTGAGGCTGTGCAGAGGAGGAGTGTGTGACAAAGTGTCTTTGGTACCTAAAACTCCAGGAGTCGCTGGCCTGCAGGTTAAAGTCTCAGTCCTTGGCACAGCATTCAAGGCTCCCTGGCCCATCTATTCTTCCCACTTCTCTGCCACGCCAGCCCACCAAGCACCTCTCAACATTTCCTACACCTTTTGGTTTTTGCTTCAGCTACTTCACCTGCCTTAAGCCCTTCCTTCCCACAAAATGTCAGCTCAGTTTTGAAGACCTCGCTCAGAATTATTCTCCTGAGGAAACCCTTTCACTGTCTCCAGTTTGAATTCAGGTCACCTCTTTGGAGCGTCTTACCTTGGTCTGCATCAGACCAAGCCTTATTATCTGTGACATGGCTCCCTCTGTCTGCCTCCCTATCCCTGGAATACAATGACCAGTTATAGTGGCTGTCACCACAGCACCTGCTGGGCCCTGGCCTTGGTTAAATCTCCTTGACTGCGTGTTGATCAGCTTAAATTCCAGAGCATGATACCATTCCTTGGTGAGAGTTTTCCTCTGACCAGGGCAACATCTCACAAAACATAATTGGCTCTGAAACTTTGGAGTAAACTGTCCCAGTTTGAATTACAGATCTGCCACTTACTAGGTGGTACCCTTGAGCGAGTCACTTAATCTCCCTATGTAGTTCACCAGCTGAATAACGGGTATAAAACTGTTAACACCCAAGATGGTTTCAAATGTCCATACATAGTAGGCTTTCTATGAATTTTGTTGCCCTCATCATGACAAATAAACTTGGAAAATGCAATAGCTCCAGGCTGTGCCATTCATAGAAAAGAAAATTTCAAACTTTCATTTCAAAAGGGACCTTTGGATTTAGCATTTAGGGCTGGAGTTTGGCTTCAGCCACTGCCCTTCTACCCACCCCAACCATTACTGCTATCATGAAATAGCTCTGATTCAACTCCCACCCATAAATTACATCCCGACTCATTTTTAACAAACTTCTGGACATCTTCAATGAAGAGAACAGAATTTTGCCCCTTAGAGTTATTTGATTGAGATTCTGACCTTATTTCTTCTTTAAAGAACTTCTTGCAAATAGATGTCCCAATGCAGGCATTGCATTTATCAAGACCGAGGAAAGTCCGTCCCAAATTGTAGGTGGTTCTGACTCGGGGCACCAGAGAAGGAGGGGGAGAAGCTGGCAAGGAGAGAAAAGAGCTCAGGGCTGAGAGCCCCAATAGCAACATGGCCAGCCAACGTGGGTGGAGGGCGACAGCTTCAGGCCCCAGCCGGGGCTCCATCCTGGGCTCAGGGCTGCGCCTTTAGCTGCCACACAGGACTGCACGGAGGCTCAGCTGGAGAGGAAGGCGACCAAGCAGCGGGCTGGGCTTCAGGCTGCTGACCTCATACCGACCTCGCAGGTTTCTGCTTGAGGATGCTGATCTGCTTGGGGCTAAGGAGGCCAGGGAGGAGGTGAGGAAGTTTGTGGAGGATGCTGATAATGTGTTTCCAGAGTCACTCTTCCTCTGCCTGGGGCGGCTGCCTCAGCCTGGGGAACAGTTCACTGACAAATTTTAGAAAGAACAATGGTCACAGCTTTCCCATGTGGTCCTCTGGACAATCACAGGATATCCCAGCTGGGCAGGAAAGGTCCAGGCAGGATGTGTGTCGGACCTAGGTTCCACCTGGGAGTTTCAAAGAATCCTGAAGGTCTCCGCCCTCCACTGTTTTCATTCTGTGTATATCTGTCCTTATGGATTACACACACACACACACACACATACACACACACACACACACGCACCCCACTATCCCCCTTCTGCATTGGGTACTCTGTCCTTTAGCCATACTTTCCCCCATTTTATCATATCGGGCTGTGAAATAAGTATTGGATAATTTGCTGGCTGTTAAGTGCCACATTTAACATTGATTTGAAAGGAGAAGGCCTTTTGCTATTTAGGGAATAGAGAACCTTGGGTTCATCCATTTTCCCTTGCTGATCTGAGGACAAGAGAGGGAAAAGAATCTGGTGGCCTCTGTGGCATGATAAGGAGAGCACCAGAAAGAGCCTCCTGCCAGTGCCCAACTGTGTCTGTCTCTATCCCCCAGGCCTGAAAATCCCTCTTTTCTTTCACCTCACCTCACTTCTCAGCAGCTGGTCTGATTTGGGAAGACCAAAATGCCCCAGGATTGCCTTCCTCTGGATACTGAGAGAAGGGTGACTGTGTGGAGTAGATGGGAGCACTAATTTGGGAATAGAGAGAGCCTATGAAGACTAAATTAGGGAAGGCAGCTTGTCTGACTTTCTGCAGGGGGCCGGGGCTAGGTTGTTTGGCCAGATTGAGAATATAAGAGAGTTCATGAGAAGATGGGGTTGGGAGAGAGAAAATAGGACGTGAGAGGGGATGGGAATGGCCTCAGAAGTAATGAGTTTTGGTAAACCTTGGCGGGAAGAGCAGTGTAAAGCAGTTCTCTGATGATTAATTATGTGCTTATTAGCCATCTGTATATTTTCATATTTTTCTTGGCAGAATGTCTGGTGACATTTGTTTTTTATCATTGAGTTTTGAGAATTTTTTTTGGTATATTCTAGATCCTAGGCATTTGTTGGGTATGTGATGTTATAGTTTGAATCTGGAATGCCCTTCAAAAGCCTATGTATTGAAGGCTTGCTTCCCAGCCCATGGTGCTTTTGGAAGATGGTAAAAACTAAGAGGTAGAGCTTAGTGGGAAGTTGTTAGGTCATTGAGGGCTTGCCCTTGGAGGGGATTCTGGGTCCACAGGTCTCTTGCTCTTCCTCTCTCTTTTCTTCCCCGACTATGCACTTTTGCTCCATCACACATTCTTCCACGAAGTGCTTGTCTTGCCACAAGCCCCAAAGCAACAAACAGGGCCAACTGACTGAAACCTTTAAAACTGTGAGCCAAAATAACCATTTTCTCTTTATATGTTGATTAGTTGAGGTATTTGTTACAGTAATAGGAAGCTGATTAACACATACTGCTTATATGTATTTTCTCCCAGACAGCAGCTTATCTTTCATCCTCTTAACAGACTCTTGTAGAGTAAAAGTTAAGAATTTTGTTGAAGTACAGTTTGTCAAATTTTCCTTTTATGCATCATGCTTTTGGTTTCAAGTGTGATAAAAGGAAAAGTTAAACACATTTAAATTTTAAAGAGTCTACTTGAGTCTTCAGCAATTCATAAATCAAGGCAACATCAGATGCCAAACGCCAAACAATTTCCTGGGAGAGACAAAAGGGGAAATTATTATTTTATAAAGTGTTTGCAGAAGCAACACAAATAAAACAATTTTGGTTAGAGTGGAAAATCTCTAGTTAGAGATTAGTTGATTCTGATTAGCACAGTTTCTAATTTCAGTTTACTGTTTACATTGGGCTTTGGTTTCTTCTTTTTTTTATTACTTAAATTATTTTATTGGTACATTTTAGGTATACAACACATTTACATTTCTCATTGGGAACTTGTACCTTTACATGATGTAATGTACCTTATTTTTTCCCTATTCCTAGCCCTCCCTTCACCCCCTCCACCCTTCCCTATTTACAAAGACTTTATTTCCATTTTTTCCATTTCTCATCATTT